CCCCACAGGGACCCCACACAGCCTGCCAGGTGTACGCTCCCACTCACCCCTCAGCCCACCCCACAGGGACCCCACACAGCCTGCCAGGTGTATGCTCCCACTCACCCCTCAGCCCGCCCCACAGGGACCCCACACAGCCTGCCAGGCCCCAGGTGCCCGCAGGCAAGGAAGCGGCCTGTGTCCCTGTGGGGCTCCTGGCCCTGCCCTGCCTGTGCCCTCCACCCTGCTTGGGAACAGCCCGTGACGGGTGGAGGAGCAGGCACTCCAGCACAGCAGCAGGGCAGGGGCAGCACACAGGGCCCCAGAGCGTCTGGCCCACGCGTGGCCCCTGCACGGCCCACAGCCCGGCCTCCGCACCACCTCACAGCGGAGCATGCGCGCCCATCCGTGTTCTGAGCATGCGCACACCCGCCCCTGCTCCCGCGGCCGCTCCAGGCCAGCCGTGCTTTGCCAGGCAGACAAGGACATGCCCCGGTTGCCTGGAGTCTCCAGCCTTCCCCGTGTGCATGGTCTCCGGCAGCCAGCAGAGCCCATGGGGTCAGGCCCCACACTGGCAGACCCCCAGGCCCTAAGACTGCTCTGCATCTTAGAATTAGCGACTCTAGCTACGCGGCTAGCGGTATTTCTAGGGACGTGGTGACTTGTAACTGAAGTGCCACGCTACGCGTCTCCAAGTGGGCCCCCAGGAGACGTCAGGCCGGCCCGTGTGCTGCCAAAAGGCATCCTGCCCCACACAGGCCGCTCTCGTCTCTACAGGGCGATGCTCCGCCCGCCAGGGCCTGTGTGCAGTGCGGGTGGCATCCAAGGGTGCTGACGTACAACAGAAGGAGAGGCCTGCTTCCGCTGTCTGCATGGCCCCCTCACGTCACACACCACGGATTTCTAAATAAAGTTATTTCTATCAAGACATGGCTGAATGGCTGGCTCTGTGGGTCCCGAGGGCCAGGCCGCTCCAGGAAGACTTCTCCGGGGCCTGCCCTGGAGGCTCTGAGGGACAGAAGCCAACTT